TGTTGGCGGGATGTGGGAAAAGGGAACCCTCGTGCACTGTGGGTGGCACTGCGGATGGGTGCAGCCGCCATGGAAAGTTTGGAGGTTCTTTAGAAACTGAAAATAGAACGACCTTATAACCCAGCGATTCCAGTTCTGGGGGTTTATCTGAAGAAATCGAAAACACTAATTGGAAAAGACTTATGCTTGCCTATGTTGACTGCAGAGCTATGTACAATAGCCAAGATATGGAAGCAATCTAAGTGTCGACGGGCGCCTGGGTAAAGAAGATGTGGTACATATATATGTAATGGAATATTACTCAGGCATGAAAAAGAATGAAATATTACCATCTGCGACGACATGGATGGACTTGGAAGGTATTAAACTAAGTGAAATAAGATAAGAGACAAATATACCATATGACTTCGCTTATATGTGGAACCTAAATAACAAAATAAACGAATCAACAAAACAAAATCAGACTCAAAGAGATCGAACTGGTGACGGCCAGATGGGAGGAGGGCTGGGGCGACTGGGTGAAAAGGTGAAGAGATTAAGAACTGCAAATGGCAGTTACGAAATTGTCACGGGGATGTGAAGTCAGCACAGGGGACAGTCAATAATATTGTTATAAGTATCAATGGTGCCAGGTGGGGACTAGAGCAATAGGAGGGGTCACTTTGTACGTTATATGAATGTCTAGCCGTGATGTTGTACACCTGAAACTAATATAAAATACTGAACGTCACCTCTAATAGAAAAACAAAAATTAAAAGTAATAAAAAAAAATAAAACGAAAGCTGTGAGATCTCAGTCTACATGTTCTAGATAGTGCATATTTCTGCCACTGAATGGCATGCTAATTTGTAGTATTAAACTGGCTTAAACAAAGGAGCGTTTCCACGAGCATCCTCAGAAAGATAAGTAACTGATCGGAAATTTAGGGAAACGAGAAGTTGATGTTTTGAAGTCTGAGAGGAAGAGAGTTTCAGCCATCACCGAGACCCTCCTGCTGGGTAATCAGGATGTAAACACAGCCACTACCCTCTGCAGCTGAGACGGAGGAAGCCAAAGCAGAAGGCAGCACGTTAGAGGCTGGTCCCACATGCCAGACCCCCACCCCATTTCAAATGGAAAAGCTTAAGCCTTCTCTGCAGTTATTAGTGATTCTGTTTATGTGTATGATATCTGATATCTGTACCTATCCGTGTTTTACATGTGATATGGTGTTTTTTGCCTTAGGATGGTATTACTAGTTTGTAATATTTAATTCGATGGAAGGAATTAAGCACTTATAAATTAAGAAAAATAGAATAGAAACAAACCTAAGTACTTTTCAGGATCACGTGATTTAGGAAAATATTCGATTCTCAAGCTGGTTTAA